GAACTGAAACTGCAGGCAGTTTAGCAGGAAGTGTGCAATGCTAGGCAGTTTCTAAGAGTTATTGCTCGTGTGGTTCTTCGTGACTGACCCTAGTTAGAAGCTTGTATTCGTCATTTTTTATTTTTTATTTATTTTTTGCTGACTAGTGGACTATGCATGTAAACATAAGTGGGAATGTGTAAAATCTCTTTGTATTTGAATGTGAGCATTTTACGTGTACTTCTATGGGGTTCATCAACTGGAAAAGCAGATCTGCAGGGGCTCCTCACACACGTGCCCCGAGATATCTGGAACTGCTGTGGCTCATATGCTTTCCCCGGGCCAGCCTGTGGGCACAAACCTTTGCCTTGGGTTTAGCTTTTGGCCACATTGGGCTTGTGAGGAGCTGCAGGAGTCCACCAGAAACCAGAGTGCGGGAATGTGCCACAGCGCAGCATTGCTGGCTTCCTCTTCTGCTGGGCTCCTCTGGGGAGAAATCAAGTCATGGGGGTGCGGAAGGAGGCCAGTGTCCATGTTCCAAGTTGTCCAGGGACATCCTGATGGAAGCAGAGGTGGAGGAAGGAGTAGCAACACTGTCCAGTACAAACCTCCACAAGGTGGGTCCAGGCAGGGTTTGCATCACAGGCTGGACCAGCAGAGGATGGAGGGACCAGGCCAAATGGCCCCTGTAATCCTGCCTCAGAACATGTCCTAAGTGTGGGACAAGGCTGTGGGGCCGGAGGAGCTGAAGTGGCCTTTGGAAATGAATGTTTCCAGTGATGCCCAGCTGTCGTGGCTCAGTGGTTGAGCATCGATCTATGAACCAGGAGGTCACGGTTCAATTCCCGGTCAGGATACATGCTTGGGTTGCTGGCTGATCCCCAGCATGGGGCCTGCAGGAGGTAGCTGATCAATGATTCTCTTTCATCATTGATGACCTCCACGACTAGAGCAGGGCAGATAAGAATATCAAAGGGCATTGAAGAACATCCTCCGGCATGTTTTTCTGAAATTAACTTCTTGTTTTTCTTCATTGACTCCTCTTCCTCAGCCAATCCCTTAAATGTCAGGTCCTCCAACATTCCTGTCTTCTTCTTGGTCTGCAGTGCAGATTCTCTGAGCAGTACATACACTTAAGTTGGAGAACATTCCTTTCACCACTGTCTCATCCATTCTACTGGCCTCATTAAGCCCCCCTGTCAAACTCTCCATTTAGTGTGTTGACCTTCCACCTCTCTCTCTTGGACCTCGAACTGCAGATCTTTCATGACCATTCCTGAAGCTCCTCCAACTCATTTCCTTCCCAGCCTGTTCCCCCCCGGCTTCTCTCACTCAGTTCATGGTGTCCCCAGCCCCAAAGCTAGATGTTCTAGATTATGTTTGGCTCCTTGTTCTTCACCCCGAAGGGACAAAAAATCTTGTTGATTCTACCTTTATTTTGTAGCTCTCACACTTTCCTTGTTTTGTCAATTCTCTTAGCCACTCTCAATATTTGGAGTTTTATTACTAGACTCCCCTCTTTCCAGTCTATCCCACATACCCCTGCAGGAGAAGCCTCTTTCCAAACCTCATTTGAAGAGAGGAGAAGGTGGTGGTGTAGGTAAATGCCTGAACTCACTGCAACTCCTCACAACCACATCAAAACTACAACTAAAATACAGAAAACACACCACACACACACACACACACACACACACACACACACACACTAAATAAAAATAAATAAAATACAGAACAACCATCATTCAGAACTGCCTGAAAGCCGGCTGGATGGGAGGGAGATCATCTCTGCGGAGGCCGCCCAAGAGGAGCAATAGGTCCCAGCTTCACTCCAGCCCCCCAGCCCAGGCTCCCAGAGCTGGGAAGAAAAGTCCCCTAACTGTAAAAACTAGCGGGGATTGGGGCTCGTGACACGGAGGCTGCTAGAGGCCCAGGTGTTCCTTAGGAAGAACTGGTTTACATCCTTAATTTACAAACATTTCACTTCCTCTAAGCTCCAGCGCTAGGGCGAGGCTCTGGGGAACCCAGACACATACCAGAAGGAACTGGATTGTCCGGCGTCAGGCAGGAACTCTGGTGGTGGTGGGGCTTTCTCCTAAATGGGTGCTTGCAGAAGTCATTGTTCCTGGCAGCCATCTCTGTTTGGTCCACCCTGGTGATTCCCTGAGACCCCGCCCCATCCAATTTATAGCCCCATCTGATTTGAAGCCTCACTCAACCTGTTTGCAACAGCTTTTGCATATAAATGGCCTGTCCTTGCTCTGGCCTCAGATTGCTAAAATCTCTAAACAAGCTGCAGCTGGGCCAGCATGCCCCAAGCCTATCAGTAAAAGGCCCAAGACCCGGCACCAGCACCAGCCTGCCTTGTTTCCCAGCTGGGCCTCATCTGGGCACCTCCAAGCCCAATACAAATGCTCCTGCAGGGTGGCCCCAGGCAGTGACTGCACCTCCCTGGAGGCCCTAGAGCCAGTGCACCCCATGGACAGCTTCAGACCATAGCAGGTTACAGCTCTGCATGTCCATGAGCAACACATTCAATAGGCAGACTCAGTGAGCACCAAAGCCCCCCTGAAGCAAGTCCTGCTCCATAGGGGTGTCTCCTACACAAAAAAATTGAATGAACAAAATAAACTGATGAATAAAATAGAATCAGAGGCATGGAAGCATGACACAGACTGATGAATCTCAGACGGAAGTGGGCAGGGGGTAAGGGAAGAGATTAAGCAATGATCTTACCTATGGACACAGACAGTAGGGTGGTGAAGGTCTAGGGCATGCTGGGAACAGGGTGGAAGGGATCAATAAGGGGGAGAAGAGGGGAGCATCTGTAATACTCTCAACAGTAAAGATAAAAAAGTAAACTTTACATATTAAAGTTTAATTTTTTCCACTATTATTGCCCCTATACAGCATCTTCCTCAAATGTAAATTCTTTGGGTTAATTTCTCGGTTGGGTGGAGTACTATGAGTAATTTTAGTTAATTCTCACTGGAGGATGTTTTTCCCTCACTGATTTTTAGAGACAATGGAAGTGGGGCAAGGGGAGGGTTGGGGAAGAGACAGAGAGAGAGAAACATCTCTGTGAGAGAGACATTGATTCGTTGCCTCCTGCATGCGCCCCAACCAGGTCTGGGGATCAAACCTGCAGCCCACATACGTACATACACATGTGTTCTTGACTGGAAATTGAACTGTGACTGTTCGGTGTGTGGACTGGTGTTCTAACCACTGAACTAAATTGGGCTATGAGTCGTTTTTAAGAAAAGACCGTATACATGGAGGGTGTACCTTTGGAGTCATTGCATTTTTAAAGTGTTTCTTTTTCTCTATGAGATATAACATTCTTGGGCATTTGATTCTTTTCTTTCAAAATACCATAGACATCACTCCATTGCGTGTATATGTCTACTTAATTGCATATAGAATATAAGCTACACACATGTATGCATTTAATTGTAAAATATATCATTCCTACAGAAGACTGCATATAATGCACATGTATAGTTTGCTGAACAATTCTGAAGCCGTGTTTATATAACTACCAATGAGGCCAAGAAAGAGTATGCTGTCGGTACCCATGTGCTTTGTTGTTGGGTCTGGGGCACAACCTATGTACCATCTTTCATCAGATACGGCGAAAGAGGGAAGATAAGAAGTCATGTCTTACAGTGGAAGTTAGAAATGGCAGGTGAATGGGCAGAGAGTTATAAAAGAGAGTGAAGCTTAAGGCCATAAATATCGATCTCTGAGGAAATATAGGGGGAAGTAGAAGCCTTTTCTACTGACGGGGCTCATCACTGGATTATATTTCCAGGCACCTGTGTCCTAGAGAAAAATACACTTCCGATACATAAGCTGGACCGGAGGGAATGTATAACTGGCCGAGAGAGAGGAGAAGCTATTTTTCATGTCCATGACTATTCCAAAGATATTTAGCTTTTGCTGAGCAGTTAACTAGGTTCCAGGTTCTGTGCTAAGCACTTGACTTGTGTTCACTCATTTATTCCTATTAAAGTTTAACATAAGAATGATTATTATTATTCTATTGTATAGCTGAAGAAACTGAGGATGAGCACGATTTAGCAACATGCCCAAGGGCACATGGTTAGTAAAGGATGGAGATGGGATTTGAGTCTGTGCTCAAATCTATGTTCTTAACCAACACCCTGATACGGAACTAGAGGTCTAGTGCACAAATTTGTGCACCAGTGGGGTCCCTTAGCCTGGCCTTCGGGATTGGGCTGAAACCGGCTCTCTGACATCCCCGAGGGATTTTGAGAGGGCAGGATCAGGGCCAGGGAGAGATTCGGGAAGTTGGCCAGCAGAGGAGGGACCTTAGGGGTGGGTGGAGAGTTCCAGGGGGTGTCTGGCCCATCTCAGTCCTCATCAGCCAGACTCCAAAAGCAAGCTAACCTACAGGTTGGAGCATCTGCCTCCTGGTGGTCAGCATACATCATAGCGAGCGTTTGAGCAGCCTTAGCAAATCATTAGCATATTATGCTTTGATTGGCTGAAAGGCCGACTGGACACTTAGCATATTAAGCTTTTTTATCATATAGGATTAGATTAATAGTGTACCACCAGGAGGAGTGGCCCCTTGGGAAGAAGGAAAATTGGGTCTGGAGCCCAGGAAGGAGATTAGGTTTGAGGAAGAGGTATGGGGCCATCTGCCTGGAGGTGGTCTCTAAGTGGGGTGTTTTATGACGCAGAAGTAGGCAGCCAGAGAGAAGGGGTAGCTGATTAGGTCAAGAAAGAGTTCCAGACAGGAAGAGAGAGTCAGGGGACACAGGATCTCCTCTGTGCGAGGTTTCCCATAATTGGGATTGACTTTCATGAAGGCTCAGGGTGTGGTCCAGACAGTATACTGCCACTAAGGAGGAGGAAAAGTCATCAGATTTTCCTTGTTGTGCTTAGTCCATCCTCCGGCATGGCCCTTGGCCCTCTTCCCATTTTTCTAAGTAAGGCTTCAAATTAGGAAGTAGCTTAGAGATTGAAAAGGAAGCAGATGACACAGAAACACATAGAAAACTTGAAGGAGGAGAGGGTGGAGGAGCCACGCTCTGCTGCAGACAACTGGATTCCAGCGGGGACTTGGAATTGTAGGGGACACCAGCCAGGGATATAGGACCATGTGGCTGCCTCCAGCTTTGCTTCTTCTCTGCCTCCCAGGTGAGTGGGGCTGGGGTTTGGGGAGCCTGCTATTACAGGAGGCAGAAGGTAGAAGGTGTGCCCTGAGTTCAAAGCCAGAGGCAAAGCGAAAGCAAAAATGGGAAGGACACATCCATCCATCCACTTGAATATTCTGCTACACATTTAAACATTCGTCCCCAGACCCTACATACACTTACTGAGTACCACTGTGTGCCAGGACTGTTCCAGAAGCCGTAATTAAGAACCCTTTCTGCACTCAGGGGCTCATGGTTGATGAGGAAGTTAAGTAATTCCTATACAATGTGGAACTCCTTATAGAAGAGACCCCTAACCCTCTTGTTGGGAGGACACTAGTCTTCGCCAAGGCCTCACTGGACGTTGGTCTTGAAGAATGAGTGGAAAGGGGACTCAGTTACGTCAGATGTGGCGCTAGAGAGATTGTGGAAGGTTCAGGAATTGGCAGTGGTTCTGTTTTGTCGGAGTCCAGTTGAAAGGAGCTGGAAAGATTTGCTAGAAAGAATTAATTGGGGGGGGGGGTCCGTCTAAAATGCCATTTTCAGCATTTACCTTAAATTTTCTTTCGTAAGCAAGTAAGTGAAATTGTCCATCTCAGGCTGGACTTTCAGAAGAGCAACTCTTAGAAAAGACATTGCAAATGCCTGAGGGCACTTTCCTTCCGCATCCCTCCTCTGTGGGAAGTAAGTTTAGGATGAAAATGAGAGGGTAGTCTTCATCTTTGTAGACTAATTTTATGGTTTGGTCTCCTTACGAAGCATAGGACCTACCCACCACAATGACAGGCTCTTCAGAAACTGGGTGGGAAGGCAGAGATTTCAAAGAAGAAACCAGCTGGGCGACACTGACCTTGTGTGGTTTCCTAATCAGTGGAATGAAGGAGTGGGCTGGTGACCTTCGAGGTGTCCTAAGGCCCTCATATCCAAGTCTTAGACGTAGAATGACATTTCAAAGAGATATATTTCCGTACACCTGGGCGGTGCTCGAAATGTCTTAAAAGATGATGACAATGATGATAACGGGTAGACATTTTGTGAATCACCATTGTGGACAGAATAGGAACGCAGAGCAGCTTGTATTGCCTCAGGAGAGTCAATGATGAACGTGTTTTCCCAGCGTCACGTTCAGTGACAGCATGAGATTGGCTTGGAATCAGTCAAGTGAGAGTATTTACACCAGGCAAATGGGCAAATGCTTCAAATCAGACCTTCTTCCCCTCTCCCCCTGCAGAGAGCTGGTTATCAGCTTTGTCCCTGCTTGTTTTAATCTACTTGCTTCAATGAGATAAAATTACCTAAGTGCCCTGGCCTGGGTGCAGGGAAACAGATGACGGAAGACACCATCATCTTCGCACACAGCCGACTCACCTTTCCCTCCAGGGCCCTTTGCAGCTGGGGCTCAATGAAAACTTCCAAGTCACTTGGACAGACTTACATGTCCAATATCCTTTTTTCAGCCCTGCTCCTATCTTTCCAGGCCCTGGGACCAGCTCATACCCCACACCTGTGACAGGAAGCCTACTAGTGCCTCCTTGGAAACTTGCCCCTTCTCAGCGGCCAGCGCTGTGACAGACAGAGTGTGTTGATCCTCCCTAGAGAGTCCCGAGAGCCAGAGATTTAGTTTTCCTCCCTCAAGGACACACGGAGAGCGGAGTAAACAGATGTGGACTCTTAAAGGACAGGTCCGAGTTGCAGGAAGCTCAGCATGCAGAAGTCTCCAAAGGGAAAGTTGGGTAATGACCGAATCTCCTGCCCCCTCCCCCCAGCAGAGGCTGCAGGCTAAGCACAGGGCAGGACAGCCAGCTCTCTCTGCTCCCACCTCCAGCTGTGGTGCGACTCTGCCTGCCTCAAGGGACAGGGTCCCGTGTGGTTACTCCATGTCTCTGGGCATCCAGAGCACAGGCTTCTCCTCCTGTTGACTGCCGTCCCCAGGCCCTCTGGCTTCCGTCTAAGCTCAGGTGTCCTTCCAGGTCGCCATTCCCAAGCCCAGGACCGTCCACCCCTCCCTGGCACCTTCCCCTTGGGGCTTTCAGGCCACTGCTGCTGTTGTTACTGGGGGCCATCGGGATGCACTCCCGGGATGTGGTTTGTGTTTTCCAGGCTGCCTGTCCCTGGTGGGCCCCAGATTTGTGACCGGCACTGAGGGGGACTCCCTGACCATCCGGTGTCGGTACGAGGAGGGTTACCAGGGGTATAATAAATACTGGTGCCGAGGACAGTATGACACCAACTGTGACAAGATTGTGGAGACCCAGGGAACTGAGAGAGAAAAGAGAAATGGCCGTGTGACCATCAGAGACAACGCTGATGACCTCACCCTCACAGTGACCATTGAGAGACTCCACGCGGGCGACGCCGGATCCTACTGGTGTAAAATTCAGACAGTGTGGATCCTGGATGAGTGGTCACGTGACCCCTCATTTCAGGTTCGGGTGTCTGTTTCCCCAGGTAAGAGCTCCCCTTGCTCCAACCGTGGACCTCATGGGTCATCAGACTCGCTCTCTCCATCTCTTTCCTCCTCACCTGCAACTTCCGCACAGCCTAACCATTCTTCCCTCTTTCTCTCTTAGGCTGAGGGTAAAGTTTTCTCCTCCAGTTCAAGAGCAATAATCCTGTGGCTGGCTTCTCGCCCCGCGGCTCCTTGCCTCCCATCCCTGTGGGCCAAATCCCCTCTTTGCTCATCCGTAGCCTTTCTCCATCCATTATCCACACCCTCTCCCATCCTCAGCCCCTTCCTCATCACTGCTCTTTGCCTCTGCCTATCACCTGTGCATGCCAGCTGGTGATCCTGCGGCCTCCTCCACCTGCCACCGTTTCTCCTCTCCCTCCTTTCTGCCGGCCTGGGAAGTGGGTGAGGTACGCTCCCTCCTCGGTGCTCCATCTGTGCCTGGTGGGGTCCCACCCCAGTGTCACACTCTCCATTAACGTGGGCCAATTAATCTGCTTAGGTGTCTCTGCCTCTCTGTAAGGGCAGGGATGGTGCCACATCCATCACCAAGTCCCCAACAGCAAGGACCTGAAAGGCTGTGTAAACCCGAGCCTGTGTCAGGTGCTCTGCGAAGGGCTGAGCCCCGGATGACTGCTTTTTAGGGGACACCAAGAGGCTAGGACCGAGTGGAGGTGGGCTATAAGTTATGTCAATAGTCTGAACACCTGAGGTCCTTGGGAGAAACTGGGTGGCACCTATCCTCACCCCAGCTTTGGGTTAAAGTGGCTCTAGTTTCCATATAAATGGCTCTCTGAGCCTCTCCCACAGTCTCTGTGAGGCTCTGAGCCAGCCTCATCCAGAATCCTCCCTCTGAGTCTCCTCCTCAGGCTGGGGAACGCCTGAGGGACCTCCGCCCTCACCCCAGGTAGAATCAGACTTGGGGTGGAAGGAACAGCCTGGCACTTACTAGAGGTGACTCTTGGCTGGATCTGAGGGGCTCCACCCACCCAGGATGTGGCCTGGGTTTAGCTTCAGGCTCTCCCCTGAACCCCCACTCCCACCCCCACCCCCACCGCACCCCATGATTCAAACAGCTGTGTGGTACGTGGCTGGGGAGACAACGATGCCTGATGTGTGATTTTACCTCCAGCACCTCGTACGACCACAAGACGTATGGCCACACCTGCCACGTTCCCGGCGGTGACCGCTGGGCAGAATTTCAGCACCAACCACTGCCCAGGGTAAGGGCCCAAGCCCCGGAGGCCATGGAGGAGGAGGGTCAGCAGCCCTACGGGGCCCTGTGGTGGGGGCTGAAAGCACACCACGCCTTTTCCCCCTCTGTCTGCGGGGTTTCCCTCCAACTCAGGTCCTGATTGTCACATGGGGATTCTGAGTGGAAAACGTCACTGGTTCTGTGCATCCTGACCCCGGGGGGCAGTTTCGGGGACACAGGAGGAGGCTGGTTCCGGTGGCAGTGCAGCCCTTTCCCCACTCTGTGCTGGGCTGGGAGTCCTGGTCGTGGGCCCTAGCCTGGGCTCGCTCCAACTTCTCTACTGGCGACCCTGCTCCTCCCACGAGCTGCTTGTGGGTTTGCGGGGAGACGGGCCGGCTCCAGGCTGGAGTTTGAACCCATTAGTTCCCCAAAGTTACTAATTAAGGGCTGGGATGCTTCAAGTGTGAGTTTCAATACGTCATTGATAAAGGGGAAGCCGAGAGGCAAAGGGACGGGGAGAGAGAGAGAAAGCGGGGAGCACACTCAGAAATCTGGCGTGGCCTGGTTCCTCTTCTCCTTTTCTCCATCATCTTCTTCTCGCTTTCCTCCATCATCCTCTTCTCTCTTTTCTCCATCGACCCCCTGGGAAAGTCCCCAGGGCAGATCTGGATCAAGCGGGGAGGGATGGCAGGGGCTCTGGAGTGGGTCCCTTCTAAATTGGATTCCGAGTGATTTGGGCTTCAGAGTCAGGCACAGGGAGAAGCAGGGACTAAAGGGTGCCGGGGCCTCCCCCGGAGGGGCATTTCATTTCCCATCGTTGTGTCCCCCACAGGCTTCCGCTCAGCACTGTCCACTTCCTGTTCCTGATCTTCCTGAAGCTGCCCCTGTTCCTGGGCGTGCTCGCTGCTCTCCTCTGTGTGAGCAGGTGTCAGAAGGGCTCCGGAGGTGGACAGAGTCAGCCTGACCAGGGGACTCCACCATGCCGTCCACCAGCTCCGGAAAAGCCCTGTCCGGGAATACAGACCTTCCGACTGGACCAGAGAGATCTGCGGGCTCTGCACTCCAGGGCAGGGAGGCAGCAGTGCCTGGACTCTGCATGGACCTAAGCCTTTGGGGGGTATTGTTCCTGTGCCTCCAGGAGGGTCCTGGATCTCAGAGGACACCGGCTCTGGTCCTCCAGGGGGAGAAAGATGAATCTCCAGGCCCCTGTGTCGGGTCCTCCTCTCTGTCCCAGATCCTCCAGTATTCTCTGGAAGTTGCATTCTCAGAAAGCCTGGCTCTTTATTCTTCTCTGTGGCACAAAAACTTAGCTCAGTGTCCCCCAGGGCAATAACCACCTCCTCCCTGCAGACAAGAGGCTTCTGGAAGACACACCCCTCACAACTTCAGATCTTGAGCTCCCTGGACTCCATTGTCCCCTCTTCTAGGGGTCTCAAACCTAGAACACCACAAGAATGAGGTGTCGTTTACAAACACAGGAAAGGCAGGCACAGGCTTGAGTGGTGCATAGCTTATGTTACTCAGAGAAATCTAACAGGAAGCCAGAGATGTGGGTTAGCAGAGCACTGATGCTGGAGAGGAGTTGGAGGAGAGGTGAAATCTTCAAGGGAAAAGTTCAGAACCAAGGACAGAGCATTTGAAGACCAGGTAAGAGCCAGGCGTTTGGGGTTCTGTATTTTCTTCAATGGATCTGTGCGTCTGTCCCTCCTCTCATGTCACATTTCTTGATTACTGTGGCCACAGCAGTAAATCAACGACAGGTTAAGTGACTGCTAAGCAAGAGTACAGGCAGATATAATTCCTCTCTTTATTCTTTTTCAAAATTATTCTAGTTATTCTAGTTCCTTTGCCTTTCTGCATACAGAAAGCTTATCTTTAGCTACCAAAAAAATCTTGCTATGGCTTTGGTAGGAATTGTGTTAAAGTTATTCTATATAATAAAAGGCTAATATGCAAATTGTTTCCTTGATTGGGAGTTCAACCAGGAATTTGAGCAGGGGGTGGGGCTGGCCCTCCAACAGCCAGGCCTGATCAATCTTGATTAGGCCTCATCCATGCACGAATTCATGCACTGGGCCTCTAGTAGATTAATATTGTGAAATGGGTATCTTTATGATCTTAAGTCTTCTCATTCACAAACGTGCTACAGTTCTTTGACTTCCACCATCAGCATTTTGTAAATTTTTAGCATAAAGTGCAGTTCATGTTCTGGTGGATTTATACCTAGGTAGGGTACTTCTTCCTTTGAGGGGAGCATTTGTCAAATACTGTGTTTTTCATTTCAGTTTTTTCATGTTTGTTGGTAGTATATAGAAATATAGAAATATTAGAGGTCCTTTGCACAAAGATTCGTGCAATAGGTCTTCCTTCCCCTGGCTCTCAGCACCAGGTTTCCTCTGGCACCTGGTACCCAGGCCTTTGCTCTGGCCACCACCTTCCTCTTTCTCCAGCAGGAGTCTTTGCTCCAGTTGGCTAGAGCCTTCAGTGTTTGCTCCAGCTGGAGCCTTCAGTCTTCTCCGCACCATCCAGAGCACTGCTCCTGTAGCTCCCTCCTACCCCCATTTTCCCCTCATAGCAGGTGTCCTGCCCAGCCACTCTGTACCTGTATATGCAAATTAACCTGCTATCTTATTGGGTTAATTTACATACTCACACCTGATTGGCTGTTGGGCATTGTGAAGTTACCGCCAATTTGCATATTTATATTTTGTGTGTGTCTCAATTTTGTCCCTGTGACCTTGTAAACTCATTGATCAGTTCTAGCAGTCTTTTGGTAGATTGCTTGGGATCTTCTTTGGAGACAATCATGCCATGTGCAAGAAAGACACTTTTATTTTTTCTTTTCTAGTGGGTATGCTTTAAAGGAGTCCTGGAGACCCCAGGGAGCCCCTGGGAGCTTTTAAGCACTTGGATGGCTTTTGTGAGCATGTGGCATCAAAAATCCATGGTTTTCAGGCATTTAAACTTTTAAACGAGAAGCCCAAAGTGAAATCCCTCCTGTCTGGCATCAAACTCCATTAAAAATATTGTGACCAAAATGGAACAGGCTTGCGAGTCCCTGCAAGTCATGGGTGCAGGATGTAATCTCTGGGTGAAGCGGAGAAATTGTGGAGCATTGCTGTGTCTGCCCAGCACTTACGCCTGGGACCATATGGCGCCCTCAGCAGGTTTGGGAACTGACCTTCTCCAGGCACAGATGGACCTGCGGGGACCACGTGCGGGCCTGCCTGGGCTGGCTCAGGCCAGGTCCAACTCTGCTCCCTGACCTCGTGATTGAGGAGCAGGGGCCTCACCCTCAGGTCTTCTTGTTCTCACGTGACATGAAAATGCTGGGTTAAGACTTGCACGAGGGCAGTTTTAAAACATGGATGAGCCTGACCAGCATAGCCCAGTAGTTGAGCGTTGACCTATGACCCAGGAGGTCGAGATTTGATTTCCTGGTCAGGGCACATGCCCAGGTTGTAGGCTTGATCCCTGGTTGGGGGCATGCAGGAGGCAGCCAATCAATGACTTTCTCTCATCGTTGATATTTCTCTCTCTCCCTCTCTCTTCCTCTCTGAAATAAATAAAAATATATATTTTAAAAATGGATGAAAACCCCTTGAACTTCCTCCTCCTTCACGTTGGGGTTCTGTCCCCTCCCCTGAAGTGTGTGGGTGGAGGCTGCTTCAACCAGGACACACAGCAGCGTTTCTCTACGCTTTTCCCATCATCCTCTTTCTAAGGAACCTGTTTAGATACTTTCTTTTTCTGAAACTCTCCACTTTCCCCCAAATTTTAACAAAAAAGATATGCTTTTGACTAAACTAGTCATCTCTCCACCACCTCCAGTAGTATCTTGGCTGAGATGACAATAACCTAGGTGTTGACCCTTAAAAGAACTCATTAAACCAATAAACTCAGTGTGCGAAGGCTTTGTAATTTTTGAGATATAAATACAACTTAATAATTACTTTCAAAAATGCAGAAAATAACATTTTAAAATTTCTCTTAAAAAGTCCCCATGGCTCTAGCAAGTTTTTCTCAGTGGATAGAGCGTTAGTTTGCAGACTGATGGGTCCTGGGTTCGATTCCAGTCAAGGGCACATACCTCGGCTGCAGGCTCCAGCCCCAGCCCTGATGGGACACATGTGGAAGGAAACCAATCCATGTGTCTCTCTCACATCCATGTTTCTCTCTGTGTGTCTCCCCCTCCCTTTCACTCTCTAAAAAATCAAAGGAAAAATATCCTCAGGATTAACACAAACAAACAAACAAACAAACATCCCCATGTTTTCTTTTATTCACTCCTAGCCTTCAGTTAGTTTGCATCTACACAAAGGGGTACAAGGGGGTCCTCTCTGGGGGACAGAAAGATATCTGCCAGGCTCCTCCCCTCTGCCCTCTCTTAGCTCACAGGCAATCCTGTGAGACACACCTGACCCTGGTGCTTGATTCAGGGTCCCTTCACACCCTCTTGAATATATGGAAGCAGTGCAGTAACCCATATAATCTCAAAGAGCCCAGGAAATCCGTCTGTGTGATAGGAAGCACACAGGAGACACGTCAGTGGGAGCTGGTGATGGTCTAGCCCTGTCTTTGTCTGTGCTCAGGTGATTCTCCAGAAGGTTCCAATGCAACAGGAGGTGCGGTCAGCAGCCTTCTGACAACTTCTGTGGCGGCGGCGGTGGTGGCGGTGGTGATGGCAGTGGTGATGATGGAGGTGGCGGTAGTGGCAGTGGTGGCAGTAGTGGTGGCGATGGCGGCGGTGGCGGTGGGGATGGAGGTGGCCTTAAAGGTGGCGGTGGTGGTGCTGGGGTCTATGCTTTTATAGACACACTCTGCGCTTTTGGGTTTAATCCAGGATTTGTACCTATCTGTTGGTCTGGACTCTTGCTTCCTTTATTGGCTGGAGCCCCAGACAGTGTTGTGCTCCATGACCTTGGGCAGAGCCACAGCAGAGTCACAAGGAAATGAGGCATCCACACAGGGAGGACTGCAGGTGCTCCGAGGACCTGGGCGTGAGGGAGCACCCCGCTTTTCCTGTCTCACTCCTTCGGTGGAGACCAGAGTCTGGATCTGTCCGAGAGGGGCAGCCGACTGTTCCTGAGGGCCCTCCTCTCTCCTGGAACTACAGCCACTGCCCACCCGCTGATAAGACAGCAGGGGCTTCTGCTAGTCCCGGGCGAGGGTCTCGATGGCGTGGGGACTGCGGTCTCCTGCGAAGACGGATTGATTTCCCCTTGGGGTCCCCCTGGCTCCTGCTCCTCCACATCAGGGTGCACAGCAGGCCCCCAAGCAGGGGCACCTTGATGACGGTCAGGAGCACCACGTGCAGGTTGCAGAGCAGGAACCTGTGCAGGGAGCGTGGCCACAGGCATGAGACTCTTCTGGGGCAGCCCCTGTCCCCCTCAAACACCCCCACCTCCCACGGCTCAGACTGGGGTAACAGGCAAGCTCCGACCTCTCTCCTGGCCAGGAAGGCCCCTCTGAGGGACTCAGTCCTGCTGCCCAAGGGCTAAGAGGCAGGGGCCGCCCTGCTGGCTCAGGCTGGGGTCCAGCACCCTTTGCCTGTTTCCCTCCTGCCTTTTGGCTCATCTCCCACAATGCATTGCAGCTCACCCCCAGTCTAACCAAGCATTATTCTACTCCTCTCTCCACCCCCGCCGCCCTCGGTACATCCTGCCCATCTAGAAGGTCTGGTCTTTGAAGCAGAGGACGGTCCCGTTCCCTGTAGGCACAGCTTTCTCTGCGGGGCTCCCCTGGGAGGGGCCTCTCGTGGCTCTGACCCCCCACTAAGGGCACGGGTGAGGTGCACTTGCTCACGTATCCCTCTTGGTGGACACCTGGCCCAGTGAGACAACTGGGGCCCGGGTTCCTATCCGGGTACAAGAATCTGATCCCCTCGCCCTACGCCTCATCCCCTGTCCCTCAGCCTGCCTGAGCAGGGTGAGTCATGCTGATGTCACTGACCGTTTTCTGGAGGGAGGGAGGGAGGGGGTCACACGTCCTAAAAATATCCACTGCGCGCTCTTCACAAGTCCTGCTCCCCGCAGCAGCCCCAACCACCCCCCCCGCCTCCCCTCCACGTTTCCTCCTGTGCTTTTCCAGCCTCCGTAAAAGCCCCGCCCTCTGCACCCTCCACTGGACAGAACAGCCGCTCTCCAAACCGGACAAAGCCGGTCCTGAAGCCCCGTTCAGGCTCAGCACTGAACCAACTGTCCAGCGGGGTCCAGCCCCCAGGAATGGGACCCTGGAGGGAGGAAGGGGCTGGGCTGGAGCAGGAGAGTGAGTGCGTGGAGGGCGATCCTGAGAGGCTGGCGCCCCGGGCGAGAAGGGAGCCTGACCCTGGATTCCCGGGAGCCCACCGGGCTGTGATGGGATGGGTGGGGGCTGGGGGTGTGCTCTTCGATGGGAGACCTCATAGCCTGCCCTTCGGGAGCCCCACGAGGGCGCGCACCTCAGGGTGATGCCCTCAGCCTCCCACCCCTTCCTCTCATCGCCCCAGCCTGCGGGGGGAGGAGGGCTGGAGCAATGAAGCATGTTTCTACCCGGGACTGTGGCAGAATAATGATCCCCAAAGACGCCCTCACCCCCAGGACCTCTGAGTGGTTACGCTACGTGGCAAAGGGGCATTCAGGCTGCAGGTGGACTTCAGTCACTAACCAGCTGGCTGAGAGGTGAGGAGATAGATTATCCTGGGTTATCTGGGTGGATCCCAGGTAATCACCAGGCTCTTTGCAGGTGGGCGATGAGGCCACGAGCCAAGGAATGTGGGTGGCCCCTAAAAGCTGGAGAAGTCGGGGAACAATCCTTCCCTGGGCTCTCCAGAGGGACTCCGCCCTGCCAGCATCTTGATGTTAGCGCAATGAGCCTCCCTCCAGACTTCTGACCTCCAGAACTATAGGACAACAGCGAGCTTGTTCTAAACCACCGAGTTAGCGGTGATCTGTTACAACAGCCACAGGACA